GCCTTTTCTGTCTAGAATCAAAACTAAAACCTTTGTTTTTTTGTTTGGGGGGGAGTTCATAAAATGTAGGTATCATTTCTGATGCTAAATTAGGCTGCTATACTCTACCCTTTGATTCAGCCTGAAGAAAATGGAGTTGCAAGTCCAAGAGGAGACAGAGGCTCTTTAGCAAACCAAAGGTTCTATTTTTCTCTCCACAAAACATCCCATCAACAAAAACAACCAGCCCCCCTCCCCACAAAAAACGTAACTAGGAAATTCTGTGTTTTGCTTATCGCATTGTACTTAGCTTTGATAGGCGTTGCTTGCATAGCTCCTACTTGGTTTGAGTAAGATAGGAAGCGGGTTGTCTATTCGCACTGTAAAAAGCTAATTGTAGAAAAAGAACAGTATTTCCAAAGATCAGCCGAAAGATCGCTAATGCTGAATCCTTACCAGAGCTTCCTCAGCACTCACGTTAATGAGGTCTGTAAGCAGATGTAAATGATCTCTCTTATCTATGAAATGAGGAAACTATGTGACAGAGCCTCGGCTTAGGCACCATTTAAACAGCAGGCTGAGTATGACTGATAGCAAACAGATCTAACTTTAATGCTTTCGGAAGCCGAATGTCTCTGTGCAACTCACAGCTTGGACAGCTCATCAGGGTCATCTAAAAATTTCATCTGCTAAGACATTCTGTAAACTGTTAGATGCAGCTATGTCGCAGACGGCATTGCATGCACTCCACAACCAGATTTTGTAGAGGTGTCAATTGCCTTTTAGTCAAATACAGTACGGAGATTTTATTGCTTTGTGTCAGTTCATCCCTGTGAAGATGACTTAGGCTGGCATTTACTTGTGGGATCGGTTTTCTGATGACTAACTAGATGAAATTTTAGCTGCTCTTGCAGGCTATGTTGCTAGAAGGGTGTTCAGTACTCCCCTCTACCTCCATAGAGCAAAGGAAGGTTTCCCGTAACTATTCAAATTTTAAATTCTAATTAATAGCTCAACATTATTTTCTCCCTCCTCCCTCATTTTTTCACTAGGCAGATACTACCTGCCAACTGTTGCCATCTTCTCCAGGGGTTCATATTTTCCATTCAACTTGCATTGCGTGACAGGGTGACTCCCCCTCCTACTCTCTCTTCTTCTGCTCTTTACTTCCAAATTAAGGCAAAATACGCATGCTTTGTTTAACCAATCCTATTTAAACTTATTTGTTCTCAAGCTCTCACCTATACAATTAATTTAGTTGGCCTAAGAGTGTGAATTTATGACTTTGGTCGTGAAGCTTAAGAAGGAACAGCAGTGGGGAGGACAGTTCTCATGTCTCTTTTCCTGGGCATGCTCAACCAACTGGAGACTTGAGCATTCCTGATATTAACCACTCCGCTCTTGCTAAGCACTTAACACATACTGTCTTATGTGAAGTTTCAAAGATGACTACACAACATGTTGATTCTCTATGCTTGTAAAAACGGCCTTTGGGTGGATTACAAAAACGTAACACAAACACATGACAATATACTTTAGTACATAAAACGGAGAATGTAACTAAGCCCTATAACATGTTGTTAGTATTTTTAAACTTGGTAAGAAGAAAAAGAGCTGTTCACATCCAGAACCACCCTTTTAAATTTGACCAGGCTCAGTATTTTGCATCTCACCAGTAGTTTCTAAGCTTGCATTTACAAAATAGCAAACTACATTATAAAACAGAATAAGTTATTCTAAAAAAACCCTGTAAATTATCAGTTGACCCCCAGAATGGACCTCTAATCTTGATTTAGGCCTGAATAAATATCTATGTCACAACAGACACCACAACTTCGTATTCTGACAGCATTACAACAGCAAATGACTGAATAAACACACTAAATAAATGGTGGTTTCAGGCACTATGTCTCCAGGCTGGAATTTGTTAGAACCTTCCTATTGCCTTTGCACCTTCATTATCTGTCTTGAGAACAAACCTCAGCATTCAGCATTCCAAACTCCTTTCAGCAAAACACTGTTAGAACCTTCTGAACAACAAACATCATCATCTGCCTTATTTTTCCAGTCTTTACCCACTCTCCTGTATGTTCATCGTACACAATTTCATCCTTAGTTCCCACCAGAGATTGCTGCACCGTAACAGGAAATCATCAAATTTGTAATTTCTTTCTGTACCATTACTCAGCTGAGTTGCAAAATACAGGTATTTTTCCAGTTATACTGGTAAGAGTACATTCTGAAAGAATATAGACTAGGGCACAGCACATCTTCACAGTAATCTAAATTACACACATTAATTTATGAACTAAATTTTTTGAAAGAAAATGGTAATTTTTAAAAATTTCTTAGGGAACAGGAAGGGATTATCAGTATATCAAAATAGAAACTTAGAGAATGGTCAGTTCATTTGTTCAGTGAATAAAGCAAGACCTCTTTTTCAAGTAATTCAGGCAGGCCTATGTTGGATATATTTATGCTTACTTATTCAGGATCAAATTCAATGTTTTTAAACAAAACATTTAACATTTATGAAATAATCAGAAATAGGATTTTGTAAAAATATTCTAGTATCATGGACTTCAAAGAAAAATTTCTGCAAAAAGAGCATGGAGCAAAAACTTTGCTCCATGTCCCTAATCCTAAAGGCTTATGAAGAGATAATCATACCAGGAAGAGACAAAAGAAGAGAGACTGTTTTCTGTATGTTTTGCCTGAAAATTTACTATCCCTACAGAAATGAAGAAACAAAACCTGGCTTCATTAGCACCTCCAGAAGGCAACCAGCACAGTAAAAATTAGCATCATCTTCAACCTCGAGGAAGAATACTGCTTCAACCAAACAAAAAGGATACTACACAGTCAGCATCTGTTTCACATAACTGCTTGGCTGCTGAATATAAGAACCTTAAACAGTATGACTTCTGCTAAAGTTTTTTAAATACCGGCTGTTAATACGTTGCTGTATGAAGACATAGGAAGCTTTCAGTTACCTAAACCTAAAAGACAATTTTAAAACAGAGCATCAAAAATTAAAACTATATAGAACTTCACCCTTTGAATAGCATGCAACAACGGACAGTGATTGTTAAAAACAGATGCCTTCCTACCTTCCTCTAAGTTTTCAAGATCAAACATGTACACCAGATCTGTGTACTACAGTAAAGAGAACTTAGATAACAATACCATAACAACTGAAGGCAAAAACCAGGAATAAGAACGAAAACATGGGCTCCTCTTCAACACCAGAAGCAGAAATTCCAAAATAAAATTTAGCAGTGATTAAATATATAAGATGCTTTGCTTTATTTTCATACAGCAGCAAGAGAGAAACCATGCATACTCCAGAAAGCTCAGGCTTTACCTTCATCAAATAGGAACACATCTCTCAACTAGAAGATTAAACGCTGACCACCAGCTTTTGGAAGAAAAACAAACTTTTGGAAGCTTGCCTTAGCTCCATTACCTAGGCAATGAAAAGCTATCAGAATTAGCATTTTTCTCCAGTATCTCACAGAAAAAACAGATGATACCATTTCTAAGTACAGACATGTAAACACCCATAGTTGAAGGGAAAAGAAATAAAAAGGTGAAGTAAAAAAATTCTGACAATCCTTCTGTCTTTGGGAAGAGATATATGGGTGAAAAAACCCAAATCAAATATTCTGGATTACTTCAGGACATCCTGTCATGAGACATCAAAGCACTCCACTGAGATAAGGTTTCTCATAACACACATACCTGCATAAAATAGAAGTTGTATCATCAGAAAAGGTTAAGGAAGAAACTTTAATGAGGATCTGCTCTAGAACACTCAGATTCAATTCTTGATGCAAAAACTGCATTTATCTATACGAATTGTATATTTCATAGAATGCATAAACTGGGCTGCAAATGATTTACCCTATTTCAAAAAAAATCCAAAAAGTGACCTAAGTGCACATGATGCAGACAAAACGCTCAAGCAGAACCAACACGATCCCTGTGGAGAGGTCCTTTTACCAAAGAAAACTTCTGCTTCTTTTACAGGATACACGCTCAAACAAGAACATGTATGTTTAAATCCGTGGACCAATGGTAGTAACGATGAAATGCTATCCTTTTAATATGTGCTTATCTCAAAGCCTTCCGGAAACAGTTTCAGATAAGACAACCATCATGAAACTTGATTTGATCTTATAAAACTTCCTTCAAGAACGAAGTTCACTTCTACCCCAGAGCATTTAAGAGAGGTTTCAACCTTGCTGAAACTCTAATGAAAATCCTCAAGAGTCATTCTACTATATTTAGATACATAATAAAGAAGATCTACAGAAATTCTAGAATATAAAGAACATCTATGTGTTTTTTTAATTAGAAGAACATTAGATGAAATTAGACTCCACAAGAACTCTCATTAAGAGAGTGTATTCTTTATTTTAACAGCGCTACCTCTTCATCACTTAAGACTCAGGGTCAGAATTGGGCAGCCAAATTGCTTGCCAGTATACAGACAATGAAAAAAACACAACCATAAAACAACCATCTTTCCAAAGCCCAACAAATCCAACAAGAGAATAGACCTCGAAGAATATAACTCACTGGAAGTTGGCTGCCTTTGTAACGCTTCCAGTGGTGCAGCAAATGTATTGGTTTTGCCAAATGTTCACAGTTACCTGAGCCAGTGCTTGTAAGTAAAAGCTTATACATAAAATAAACACAGGGAACACACTTCCTTAAGCTGCCACATGAGCCATACTACAATTACACTCCAGTTTGTATTTCTGTATAACTTAACCATTGCAATCCAAGAAATTACATTAAGGAAATACACCACACTTATCCGCCTTACGCTCCTCCTGCTTTTTACTTTTTGTTCTTTGTAGTCAGCATTTGTACAATTTTTCTCAACTTTATCTGCTGTGGTGAAACACAGTTTTTAAATTCCAGCCACACTGATTTATCATTTTTAAATTTAAAACAACTAACAGATAAGATTTAGACACTGCATATTTTTATAATCAAATGAATAAATGCTATACCTCCAAGTTCTTTTACGTTCAAGATGGCATTCTGGAATGGCACCGCTTTTATACTAAAACCTAAGAACAGAAATAAATAGTATTAATAAGTTATTTGTTAAAAAGGCCATTTGAAATCAATTGCATATATTCAGAAAAGACTACTTTTTTTCATCAAGAACCAAGATTTTGCATGTGAAATTGTTTCAATACGACGTTTAAAAATATCAGCTGGCGGGGGAGAGATAAATTAGTATGAGCAAGGAAATTTGCAATGATACTACTAAATAGCCAGCGCACACAACATTCAGCAAAAAACTTCCATCCAGGCCATCCACCATTTGGTAAGGGGTTAGTACAGAATATACCTTCATAAAACCACCTTTTAATGCATCTGGAACTAAAGTTTAGATTTCAGACTACCAGCAGTATGAAGTGATCCTCCTGCAAACTTAAGCAGACATGGAAGACAATGTGCAATTCAAATCAGTGTTTTCGTACATTTAAACTTCACAGATTTTGGTTACACCTACAGTATTAATCCTGTCTGTAAATGTTATTAACATAAAGATCCTTTTACAGACCTAACTGGCATGTATTAAAATGGTTACAAGCACACTAGAAGCATCTATGAATCCTCTATTAGCCTGTTATATGCTTAAAACCAAAAAACTTTTAAAAAGTGTGATGTTTTCCCTTAATGGAAAGTTTAGTCAGCCAAGAGAAAGGCAATGTGAAAGGCTATATACAATATACTAATACATATTAAATTCTGCATGTTTAGTGCATACATACATGTAAGCGTATATAATACTTTATATAGGAAAAATGATGTCTGCTCTTTCAGCATAAAATGTCCAGATAGACATTAAATTTATTTCCATCTAGCACAAGCAGTTTCAACATGATTACACACTTCTGAACTGAGTAAAGAAGTTTTGAAAAAATGTGTTTCACTCTAAGTTTATTAGCTATCATTTAACAGAAACAAGATTGTTTTTTCTCCCAGATCAGACCAATAAGATATTCCAGTACTCCAACCATGGTCAGTGCTAGATGCAGTAGAGGAAAGTGCAAGAAAATGTAAAGGGAATAATTATGAAATATTTTTATTGTTGTTGTCTTAAAACAAATCCTAAACTCTTCCTAGAAAGGAGGAAAAACTGGAATGGACCTGAGTGGTGGTGATGAGAAAAGCAAAAATACACGTTATAGCTTGAAAACTGAGTGGAGAAGTTGTCACATTGTATTCTTGGATTCTCAACAGTATTTTCTGATATAGCACAGATATGGTACATATGGGTAGATTTATTATGAACTGAATAGCCTAGATATGCATCATTTTGGTTTGGATGCTGCCTCGTTTCCTCCAGAGTCCATCTTTATTCCTTAGGTTGCCTAACTAAATAATGGTATTTTGTTGCAACTCTCTAGAAACCTGTAAGAAATTTAATTTTAAAATTAATCATATTTTCATTATTTCCTTTGATAGATGTATACTGCTGTTTACATTGCTGTTACTGTTTCTTTCAGGGTCTAAAGTGTTAAAGTATAATTTGCACTAATTCCAGGAGAACTCTAAAGATAAAGTTCAGGAGAGGGGAAAAAAAGAAAAAAAAAGGCTGAATTACTCTACAATTTCCTTCTAACTTTTTGAGTTAGGCACTGACACCTTCTTCATACAATGAAGTGGCAGATCTCTAATACTCCCAATAACACCGCTGTGAAGGCAATGGGTTAATTATTCATCGCAGAAAAAAATCACAGTGTTTTCTTGTACCTTTTTTACTTTGTTTACTTACAGTTGTATTAAATAACCTTATGATCTTGTAATTTAAACAAAGATACACTGAAAAACTGTTAGGGTTGCTAAGGGACAATCATAAAATTCAAGCCCATGAACCACAGCTACAGTCTAAAGCCATGTAACTATAAACACAAGTTACTCGCACAACACTCACTATCTGTTCTCCCAGCAAATCAACGTTAGTAAATTGCTGCGGCCACACAACCAGACTTCTTCCATCTCTATGACCTAATCTGTCCTTTCTTTGCAGCCAGGTATTCCTTTTTCTCACTCCACATATTTGTTTCTGTTTTTGCTGGTGCTGTTTTGTTTTTTGGTTTTGTTTGTTTGTTTGTTTGGGGGGGAGTGGTGATGTCATCAAAATACTCTTTTCAGTATTAGGGATTCTGGTTCATCTATATCAGCATGCATATTCGAATTTTTTGGACTTAAGATACCTTTTAGCTGTGGCCGTTGTGTCTGGTTTTATGTATCTTCTCAATGCCACTGAAACTTTTTGTAAATTGATTCTCTGATCTCAGTCCGCCCTTATGTTCTGGTTTCAGCTGGGAGAGAGTTAAATTTCGTCCTAGTGCTGTGGTTTGGGTTTAGTATGAGAAGAATGTTGATAACACACTGATGTTTTCATTGTTGCTAAGTTCCCTGTCAAGGACAGCTTCCATGTCCTACCAAGCAGAGTCTGGGAGCAGGGAGCATAGCCGGGACAGCTGGCCCAGCTGGCCAACGGGGTATTCCATACCATCTGATGTCATGCTCAGTATATGAATGGTAGGCGTGTTCCAGGAAGTAGCGATCGCTACTTGGTTATCGGTCAGCGCGGGTGGTGAGCAATTGCATTGTGCATCACTCATTTTGTATATTCTATTATTATCATCATTATTAGTAGTAGTAGTATTAGTATTATCATTATTATTATTATTGTTATTATTATTATCCCTTTTCTGTTCTATTAAACTGTCTTTATCTCAACCCACAAGTTTTTCTCACTCTTACCTTTCCGATTCTCTCCCTGTCCCACAGCAGGGGCCGGGGGGGGAGGAGAGGGGGAGTGAGTGAGCAGCTGCGTGGGGTTTGGCTGTGTCCCGAGTTAAACCACACCACCTTACTACATAAACAAATCTCTTTGCTCATCTAAAAAGAAAGGACTATCACCAGAAGTAAACATTTCCATTACATTTATTCTTTTGGTTGCTAGCATATACCATAAGGCAGTACTGACCAAGTATGAGAAGAAATAAATCCCCACTTAAGTTTCAGAGCATCACTGTCCCATTTATTTTGTAGCACATCCTCCTCTTCTCTGTCCATATTACAAGACTGCTTAAAAACCAGAAGTAAAAAGAGAAGAAAGAAACCTTCTCATGTGTGTCTACACTACACTGTTTCCAATGGTTCTACTTCATTACACCACAATGTATGTTTTGATTTTCAGTACGTTCCAAATTGTATGTTTTCGTGGATATTCCATAATATATGACCAGACACTGAAAGAATAACTAATGGTAGCTTCAAAGCAATCCATTAGGTACTTTCAAAAGCAAGATAACTAAGCTGAAGTTCCCTACCACCTTTGCTGTATGTTTCAAAAGTTATGTTTGGGCAACATTACAGCGCACCATGAAATAAAGGCAGCATCCTACCTGTGGTAGACACTATATTCTCCGGGCTTTCACTGCAAAGCTGTGACAGAAGACTTGTCTTGCCAGAACCAGTGAGGCCTATGCAAACCAAGTCATATTCAGGTCGTGGTGGCGGCGGTCCCTTGCAGCAAAGTGCTCTAAAACACTGCCAGAGTAAGGAAAAACAAACAAAACAAAAACAAAAGGAAGAAGTTACTTTTTTTTTGTAAATTATTCAACCAGGTTGTAAAAATCAAATTTATAAATTTAAAGGCATTGGAGAGAAGCAAATTATTATTCCAACTTACTATTTTGACAAAATCAACACTTAATAGACTGAGACCACCTCAACTAAAATCTAGAACAGCTTTATAAGAAAACATAAGTATACCTGTTAACTTTTCACCTAAACCTCACAGAGCTGGATTGAGGAAAGTGACACTCATTTCCTAAATAGCATGACCAGCGCACATACAGCGAGATAGGCATGTGCCCTACTCAACTCTGCGGCTGGGCTTGCATGAGTTTGCTTCCTGTGATAATTTCATACAATACCTAGTGTGAACATCAGCGCAGCTCCCGAGCAGCTGCTGGCCAGGCTCTACCTGTTGTCACTGGAAAGAGTCGGAGAACTTTGCTCCACTGATGTCCTTCCTGGGCTTGCTTTGTCATGTGTTTTACCTTACAGTATCAGCTGTTAAAGAGTACAGCTTGTAAAGAAATAAATTTTGCTGGACATAGTTCTAGTCATAAATATGCAGATCTCTCACTTTCCCTGGAGAAGTATAAATTAATCACAATATAAAGAATAAAAAACTCTTACACAAAGCCAGCTTTAGAGTTCTGCTCATGTCTCTTGAACAGTATTCCCAAATTAGGGCAAGCTTATCCGAAAGGTCCTTTAAGCCCTTACTAAGGTTTATCAGACCTTTCTTTATACGTAATATGGAAAATTTTTATGTAAAAATCTAAAAATGTATCATTCTGGGAAAGGTGGGAAGTGTTTATTTAAGGTATGGGGTGCAATTACCCGCTGATGTCCAATATACAAAAATACCTTTTCCCCCAATGTCTGCCACCTTCATATCAGAGGAATACATCTGCTATAACAAGGAAGGGATAACATGTTTGTGTAACCACTCCTCCCCTCACATTCTGTCTTTACACAGTCCCAGCGCTTTTCTTCCATCTCAACCACAAGCCAATCACTGCATTGGGTACAGAAATCCAGTCTTTACAACCTTAACCTAGTTTGTCTATGTGACTACCCAGGATCTCTCATTGAGGACTACTGGAGGAGCAGAGAAACTGAACAAGATGTCAGTAAGGCACTGTTGCAAATAGTGGGTTCTGGCTCTGTGAGCAAGTCATCCAAAGAGAACGTGATTATAAAAAGACAGCTCACTGAATGCAGAACTTTCATTGGATTCTTTCCGTATAGATGGTAAGTTATTATACAGGCTGCCGGAACAGTCTGTATTGGTTTAAAGAAGCAAAAGATAAGTTCACAGAAAGTTACGAAATTCCTTCAACACCTTTTAAAAATGTGACAGTAAAGATTTGAGGAGTAAAAACATTTACAGTAGTAGTTAAGGTGAACAAAGGCAACAGATTTTAAAAACAAAAGCTTTGCCTCTGTTAAAATTTGACTCAAGAATTCTTTTTTCAAAAAGGTTTGCCCTTATACGTGCATCCATAGCTAAACGGAGTAAACATGCCTTCTAGCTTTATTCACTGACGTCAGTTTATACTTATCTCACAGATTCTACAAAGCCACAGAAATATTCTACTCTGGTACTTAAGTGAGAAAGGCCAACTGAGTTTATTGCACAACACAAGCTCCTTCAAACAGAGTTTCCACTTAATGGACATCAGGCTGAAGGCCACATAAAATTTTTCGAAGCTTGCCAGAGCTCCTGAGGCTATGTGTCAGGCCCTTTGCAGCCAGTCTTTAAAAAGGACTCAATCTGTCCCTGTCAGCACGGCATCTTTGCGACAACTTCTTGATGTCATATTGAAAAACATAAAGGAATAGATGAGCTGATGAAAGTCTGTGCTTCTGTCTGTCCAGACACTGTATCAGTTCTTACGCAACCAGATACGACTCTTGTGGCTCTGACGACGTTTAATAACCTGCAGCTCTGTCAAAGATAATTATTGCTCTTTGTAGAACACTTATGGAGGCTCTGTGGGTGACAGAGGGGCTCCGCAGGCTGGTTTTGTGAAGTTCAGCATCTCTTTAGCGCAGATTCCTTAAGTCTAACTTAGTCTGGACAATCTTTATGTGCTGTTGATTAAAATGTATGATCAAAAATCCAGGTCAAATTGCAAGTCCAAAGCAGCATACATAGACCCACCACCCACTTCACTCATCCTTCACCAGCAAGCACAGTTAGGTATGAAAGTTCCTGAGATACAGCAGACACAGAACGCCAGAAGACAGGGAAATGACTCCCTCCAGACCACTCTCATTTTTTATTTGATATGATTCCCCTATCCTTGTTATGTTCATGACTTTGTCCTTGTGCAAGGCTAATTTCCTTCAGTAGATATTTTTGTTTGCTTGGAATGCAAACAGACTTTAAATATGCTAGCTTCAAAAAGCTGAAATTTAAGCTGCTGTATAGCACTTACCACTAGCTGACATGAGTACTTTTTAGGGGATACTTGTAATAATATATTTAAATTTATAAACTTGCTTCGCAATCTCCTTACTCAAGCTCAATGAACATCTCTTCCATTGGAAATATCACTATACAAACAGTCCGATCACTGCCTTCCTGTTCTCTCAGCAGCTTAAAGTTACTTGGCCCCTAACAAGTCAGGGCTATTTAAGCATCCATTATAGAGACTAAACCTCGTTTGTCACAACTTCGGCAGCTGCATCTAGTAGCTGCACAAGATCTGTGGAGAGTAGAAAATTCATAGGTCATTGACCATGCACATAACATTACATCCTACATTCTGCTTTTGGTTATGGACAGGAAATGCGTCCTGAAATATTTTATAAAGCATGGACTAGAGCTACACCATTATTTCAGATGTCATCATGTATTACAGTGCCGTCTGAAATGCACAGAACTGCAAGAAATGGGTATTAGTAACTAAAGAAGCCATTCCTGAAATCCAAAACACAAATATATCAAAAACATTGAGAGGATTGTTCAATTCACAACTAGCGGCTCAGTCCTTTCCAAAGTCGGCGTACTTTTCACTCCATTTGGACAACCCAAAGGGCATAAGAGAAATTAGAATTAACAGCCTGACTGGTCTTGAAATACTTGTCAGATACGGACCTGGAAGTCTCTTCCATTGATTGCCAAACCTGATTTGCTCAATGAGTGACTGTCCAATAAAAGGCTGCCTTTTAGGTATTATAAAATTAACTCCAAACCTAAATGAGGCCACTCAGAGGGAGTGCTGGAAAGGACAGAAAGAAAACATTTGACTACCCCAAATGTAGGGTCAAGCAGAGCTAGCTGGCATAGCCACTGAAATGTTGTTTGGGGTATGGTCGTGCACTTCAGCCTCACTACTAGCAACAAAAAAGGAACAAAATTTTTTGGAGCCCTTTCAACCTATCATGGTAAGACCTTACTTACTTTAAAGGGACAGACATGTCAAAAAAAGTGTCAGGTTTTATGATTTTTGAGAACATGACACTCAAAACTCTTTATAGCCATTGGATAGGGAGAAGAAGCAGGCAAAGAGAGGCATGCAGGGAGAGTCAGGACTTAATTTTTTTTTTTTTTTTTAATGAATGAGCAGATTCTAAAGTACTGAAAATAAAACAATACAGTATCTTGAAAACAATGTATGCGTTTAGCCAGTTTTGGAAAAAAGGATGTATTTATCCAGGAAACTGGGAGTAATTCGGTGCTGCAGTCTGCAGAAAACTGTGCAATATTCAGCACCACTGTTACTTTCATTTTACTTGTATGTGTGCATGTAAGCTGCATATGCACGTATAATCATACGCAAGAGCTAAGGGAAGAAGTTAGCCAGTCCTACTCCTGCTTAGGGATTTCTATCCCAACCAAATGATTCCCATTTTAGGATGGAATCCGTGGTGGATCTGTATTTGGTGCTGACAATGCTAGACAGTGTCCCTTTAAAGCCCTACAGCTATTTCTTCCGCGAAAAGCATTAAGTATTGTGTCCATAGCATGGTGGCCATACACTTCTGATATATGTGCCTCTCAGAGATCACAGACTGAAGCTCTGGGCAGCAAACGTCCCTGAATTACTACTCTCTCCAACACATTACGCTGCCTTCAGCCATTGAGTCTGTCTTTGCCTACTCATTGTACTTCTCGTTTCACTCTCCTTTTTGGGGTGAAATACTCCATTATTTCTGCTTTGTTCTGGACCCATCTCCTGTCTGTTTCTTTTGTTGCCACTATTTAAAACGGACAAACAGAAGCAAGGGATTTCATGCTTAGTTGATTAAACACACACATCCTCGTGCAAAAATACCCTAAGTTAGTGCAACACTAATGCTAACAAACCAGGCATTCAGAGCTCTTGAAATGTAGAATTAAGGCTGAAAGCTCAGCGATAACTCTACTCCCCTCCCCCTCTTGGTTATCTTATGGATATGGTCTCCCTTTACATTTTATTTTTCCATTAAGGTAGCTTTGAACAAACAGACTTCTAGTACCCAGCACACACTCTATCCAGAGGACTGGTTAATCACCTGAAGCTGTTGATGAAAACCCAAGGAGATTACTAAAAAAAGTCAGATTTACACACAGCAGGCTCCATAGCTCTGATGTTGTATGAGATCACACAAGTGCAAAGGAATTGCAAACCTCGAAGAGATAATGTGAAAGGTGGGGGAAAAAACAAGGTAGACAGTAATAATACTAAGGATAGCAGACAACTGGGGACAGCAGCGGAATAACTGAATGCAAGTAATAAAATACTCAAGGCACCTGAATGAAACTACAAACAGCTAGAAGAGAGGAGATAAAGCAGTTTATCTAAATAAACTCAATCTTAGCTGTATGAATACCTTAATGTTAAATTAGTACAATAGAATCTATGCATTTGACCATGTGAGCTAAAGCTGCAGACGGTTCAGTTTTCATGCTGCTGCACAAGTGGTTTTACCACTACAGGAAAAGCGAGGAAGAGGAAAAAACTACCAATTTTAAGACACACAAC